TCTGATAAGCACCCTCTTCTGTGGGCAGCCAGTGGCCCTTACAGTGTTAGAGCAGAAGTGGTAGTAGGAGGCGCTTAGGGAGGAGGTTGCTGAAAGTTTGGGTATTGTCATTTTGCAAAGAAAGCAACTTCTGTCTCAGAGTAAGTAAGGTTTGTCTCATGTTAAACCTGCTTATATAGCAGCAGGAAAACACATGGCCAAGAAATCTCCCCAGATTCTGCATATTCCAGCTTCTGTTTCCTGTTAGTATGGTCATTACTGCAGCAGAGGGTAGGTCCTAGCTCCTGTCACATGGTAGGTCACATCTCTGGGTTTGTATCTTGAAATCTTGCAGAAATCATCAATCCCTAGGCCCTACCCTTATCTGAGTGAATTAGAATTTCGGGTACTGGAGCCTGAGCATTCATATTTTTAAAAAGAAATGAACACAAATTAAAGAAAATGAAAAGAAAAACCACAAGGTAGGAAAAGTATTTGCATCAATGTGAGGTCTAACAGAATAATACAGTGAATGTCTAAAGTAAAACATTTTATTATAGTAAAAGAAAAATTGACATTAATATCCCTCAAAATATTTCTCCATGTATTCAACACATTTATCCCATTATTCTTGCCACTTTCTGAACTAGTTCAGGAAGTCTTCTTTTGTGAGCGTCTCTAGTTCTGCTATTGTGGCTGCCTTGAGGCTCTAAATCAGTTCAAAACATTGACCTTTCATGGTTTTGACTTTGGGGAGGATCCTGAAATTGCATGGAGCCAGATCTGGTGAATAAAGGGGAAGAGGACACATCATAACATTTCCACAAGTCTGCCTTTCTGTTGGATGGAACTAGACAGCAGAGTTGACCATATTTTTGATCAAATCTTATAAATATATTCACAAAAAGGTCTCCCAGAACTGCTTCAGAAAGTGGCTGTGCTTGAAGAAAGAGGGAGTGCTTTTGAGGAAGATTAATGGCAATGTGTCTTTTTACTTACTATAATTCATCAAAAATTTAAAGTTTTTGATCAATTCTTGTATACATCTAATAAATGACTGGTATCTAGAATACATAAAGAACTCTTAAAAGTTAATAATGTCTATGTACATATACCAACTTCCCATGAGAAATGTCATCATTATGTACCACAAGCATGTATTAATAAAAAGTGGCACATGTACTAATCAACGTGGCAAAAAAAATTAATAAGAAAACAAAGAATGCAATTTGGAAATAGAAACAAGATTTAAATAGACACTCCACCCACAATCCATTAATCTAGGTGGGAGAAAAAAAAGCTCTTGAGTGACTGAAATTAATAGAAATTCGTTGGCACAACAGACTTGTATCTAGGCTCTGTCATTAAAACTTCACTTATGTTCACTTTATATACGTAAATTTGGAGATGATGAAACCTACTGTATGGTGTGGGTATGGTTTGCCACAGGGTTCAAGTGTGAATAACTTGGCTCCCAGCATGGTGCTCTGAGAGGTGGTGGGACCTTCAAAAGGTAGGGTCTAGAGGGAAGCAATCAGGTCACCAGAGGGGCTTCCTTTCAAGGGATTAAGGTCGTTCCAGTGGGACCCTGGTTAGTTCCTTTGAGAGAAGCTGTTATAGAAGAGAAAGACTGGCCCTTCCAACTTCTGGCTTTCTGTTTTACCAAGTGATCTCATCACACATGCATACTCTTGATGGCATTGACCATGATGTGATGCAAGAGCGGTGAGGGGCACTCACCAGAGCCAGTGCTTGCCTTGAACCACAAGGACTGTGAGCTGAATAAAACTCTTTTCTTTATACATTACTCAGACTCAGGTATTTTGTTATAGCAGTGAAAAACACACTAATGCACAAGCTTGATGAGATAGTATGAGTTTTAAATATTATACTCTATGGAAAGCACCTAACATAGGATTTGGCACAAAATAATAATCACCACTTGTTTAGTGCTATGTGGTAGGTATTGTACTTTATCAGTATCTCCTTTAGTCTTCAGAGCAGCTCTGTGAAATAGGCATTTAATATTCAAAGCGGAGAAACTTAGCCCCAGAGAAGTTCAGAAACTTGCTCAAGGTCTCACAGAGGTCAGTGGTTGAACCAGATTCTAAGTCTAACTAAACTTTATTACTTACTATGTCACTTCAGAACTTCGGTTTCAAACATTTCACTCTTTGACATCATTTCCTAGTCACCTATCTTACTTTCTCGGTACTTTTATTCTAATGATTTCTTGATCTCATTGAAATCTCCAGTTTCCTCTGATCCTACAACCTTTCCTGAATCACCAAGACTCTGATGTTTTCACTTCCCTCCTTATTCAGCCTACATTATATGGTTCGGCACAGTTTACTTTTTCTTTGCAAATACCTTAACCTCATTGCTCCTTTCTCCCTCTGCTTGGAAAAAGCTGAATCGTGTTATTCTAATTTTTCTTCACTTTATTCTTGCAACCAAGCAGTAATTGTTGCCAGATGTAATTGCACAACTATGGAAATAGGACTTTCAGGAAAGCCAGGTTTTAATTAAGGTCAGGAGGAGAAAGGACCATGTAGTAACAAGGGTAAAAAAGTAGGGGCATTTGATTGTTGTGCTATGGAGAAGCAGTGGGAAGTCTGGTAAAGGTGGAGGCAATCTGGGATGTGACACAGCAGGGAAAAGAAGTCACTATGGAAGGTAGTGACCAAGGATCTTAGGACTGAAAGACCTGGTTGAAGAAACCTGCTATAAACATGCTAACTGGGCACAAGTTATTTATGAGTCCTACCCTTGGCTGGGGGTTCTAGGATGATTCTTGCTGCCCTCAGCAAGGAGATGGGTCAGTCACAAGTGTAACACAGTGTTATGGATGGGACCATATGTAGAGAGGAGAGATCCTGTTTGGAAAGAGTCAGAGTTTTTTTCTTCTGGCTCCTGGTGCAGTGGTGAAGGCACCAGTTAACTGGCAGCACCAGGGTCTCTGGTGGATCTGGGCCAGTGATGAGCTGGTGAACAACCAGCTCTCTGAAAAACAGTAATGACAACAGTGAATAGGTAGTCTCACCATAGCTGAATTGAGGCCAGCCATGGGCTCTCATTGATTGTGGAGCTGGAGAGCGGTATATGTGATCAGGGCTCTTGGCAGTGGTAAAAATTGGCTCCCACACAGCATTGGCTGGGCCAACCCCAGCCTGTTCATCTGAGCAGTGGAAAAAGTGGATTATACCTACAGTGCCATGAGAACTGAGGCAGGAAGCAGGCTCTCCAGGTGCAACCAGACCTTGTTCTCCTTTCTAGATGTTATGTAGCACTGTGAGAGAAGGCACAGGTGGCTCATTCACAGGAATCACAAGAATCATGTTCTGGGAACTGGGACAAAATTGCATGGGGTCTAAGGAAAATCATATATTCTTCATTTAGCAATCAATACCTTTGGCATATGTCCTATGTTCCCTGGATAATGTCTGCTTTCTAACCTACCATGTCTATTGTGATTTTCCTCCCTCAGTGTTCTGAGTAGTTGGAATTACTGTACAGGCACGTGCCACTGTATTATGATAACACTTTTAGCTATATAAATCCATGTTAAGAAAGTTTAGAACTAATTCCAATCACATTAATAGAATTTCAAGCATCTACAAAGTTCTCTCATATGAATCATTTATCTTCTTCTATAAAGGAGAAAAATCCTCTATTCTGCAGAAACCTCAATTATTAGAATATTCATGCATATGAGAGGTTGACTACAGGAAGAGGGAATAGTGGTGAAACTAACAGAGAAAGTTAGACATAACAAATCTTTTTTTCTTGCCAAGTTAAAATAATTTCAGTTGGAAATTGTGGCACATATCTGTAACTCCAGCACTCTGGTTGAGGTAGGAGGATTGAAAGTTTGAGTCCAGCCTGGACAACTTAATAAGACCCTGTCTCAAAAAACAAATGTGCTGGAGATGGAGATGTAGCTCAGTGGGAAGGCCTTGGCTTCAAACCCCAATATCACACACACACACACACACACAGGAAGATGTCAACTACGAGCCAGCATACTTTTGGGTTTGTAGTCTGTCTTTGCATGAATGAAGACTACTTCATACAGATGAATGAATTGGTGTAGTGGTTTGCTTGTGGTTGTAAGTACTGTTTCAGTATACAGAACTCCTGATAAGTTAGAGTTCTGAACATCCCAAACTCATGCACTGACAGGGCATGGGTTGACTTGCATGATATGTCAGCCTCAAACCCAGCAAAACCTCATCCTTTTGCAGTATAACCATCAGGGATCCAGAAGTTTTCCTTTTCCTTCCTTTTTAAGCTGTTCATCAGTCTCCTCCCAGTATTCTTAGAAAGTACTGAGGATTGTGACTCAAGAGAAGAGGTGGGAAAAGGGAAAAGCAGTGGGAAAGCCATTTCACAAGTTGTCATTATGTTAAGTCCTAGCACCTTCTTTTTTGAAAGTGAGTTTCATGACTCTCTCTAAAGGGGAGAGAAGGTGCTAACAGATTTACCTCTGTGGAAGATCGGTCTGCTAAGATAGTTGTGGCAGATGGCAGTTTGCAATTCTCACAATATCTTTGAATCTCCTAGCTTGGCTTCCCTCTCCTTGTGAGCCATAATGCCAGTTTGAAGCTTATGAAATCCTAATCATGTCAGAGTTATTGACTTGTCTTTTTGTCACTCTGCCTATTCTTTCTTACTATTTTTATCCTAGCTATATCATCTCCCTCTCCCTCTGAGGGTTTGACCTTTTTTCAATGAAGGGGAGAGCTAAAATTAAAAATAGAGTCATTAGAACATAACAGGTGGTGAGAGGTTGGGAGACATCTGGGCACCAAATAAATATTTGTATTGAAAAAAAGGAAAGAAAAGGAAAGCTATCACAATTGAGTGAAAAAACCTAGCCTAGATCTTCTTGGAAGTAGAGGCAAAACCACTTCTCTGTCACTTCATACATCTCATCACTAGGTAGTCTAGAAAAGTTGGGCAGAAGTGACTGGGAAAACAGGCACGCTTCCTCTAGGACGTCCCTTCCCTGAGACACTTACCTGATAATATAGATGCAACTGCAGCAATAATGAAGGACACAATGACACCAGGCCCTGCCATTTCCTTGGCCACCAGGCCAGATACCACATACATGCCAGTGCCCACACAGCTGCCAACTCCGAGAGAGATGAGGTCCACAGTGGTGAGTACCTGGGCCAGCTTGGTGCCATGTGCCGTGGTGGCCCCAGTCCCCTCCAGCATGGACTCCACCGGTTTGGTGCGTAGGATCCTGGAGTGCACGGCATACCAGGCAGCCCCCCACTGTACCCTCCGGGGGTCCAGCGAGGCCAGGAAGCCACTCATCTTGAGTGGTAGGGCTTGCAGTGAAGCTCAGCAGATGGAGGAGGGCTACAGAAGCCTTAGTGAATGGTTCTGGAAGTCATCTAGTGAATGGGAATCCCCTGCTTAGGAAAGGTCCTGAGGGACCCACAGCGGCCTTCTCCTGGGCATGAATATCTGCAGGAAAAACACAAGAAAAGAGAACATGAGACCACATGGGAAGCAAAGCATAACTTGAAAGCATGGTTGGAAGTGAACATCCCGAGCTGGTAGAAACGGCTCCAACTTTTCTGCTAGTAATATGGGAAGGTTCCTTCTCTCATTGATGTTTCACCTCCAGTCCTAAGCAATAGTTTGAAGCTTGCACTGTGCTGCATAGTCATTCTCAAGAGGCTGGACTACACTTTACTGTTGTACTACATGGGCTAAGCTACTTCCCTTCTTTGTGTTTCAGTCCCAGCCATCCAGGGAATGGTGGAGTCTCCCTCCGTGTGTCCATGTGAGGATCACATGAATGCATGTCTGCAAAAAGCTTAAGAAAATGCCTGGCATGTGGGAAAATGCTTATCTGTCAAGCTGTAAGTGTTTCTTACTTAGCTTTGCTAATTCTCAGGCATATTCTCTGGGGACATAGTATCTTTGCTTTTTACGTAAGAACGTAAAATTAGACCTATGAGTCTCAAGAGGAGCCATGCTGTGGCATGTCACCTGTAAGGTTGTTTGGAACTCCGCTTTCTTTCAGATGAAATGAAAAATATTATGGCCTTTTTCTTTTTGACTTGAAGATTAGGGTGTCGAGGAGTGCTCCTGACATTTGGGGCAGGGCTGAGATCGCATAGGACAGTGTCACACATCTTTTGAATATTTTGCCAGATATATTTGTAGATGGATCTAGACCTGGAATCTAATTCTGTTTTAAATATAAATGCTCATAATATTCTGGATAGTTTTAACGTACAAGTACATTTGAATTTTCTAGAAAAGCAGCTACAGAATACATCAAAGGCAGGTTTTAATTTGTTTAGTTTGGAATATACAAGGAATTTTCCATCATTTCAGAAAATTAAGGCTCCCATGGCACCGCCACTCATGGTATTGTACCTCTCAAGCAGCACCTCTGTGACAGTCTGTCATTTGGAACTGGCATATTTGCAGTGATTCTTTGCATAGTAAAAGTGTCTGGCAACTTCATTTGGACATCTCTGGGTATTTACATATGCATTATGTTGGATATGGGTAGGTTATCCATTAATTTCACTTCAGGGTACTAAGGAACATTTTGGCAAAATATTCATCGTAAAAAAGGATGTTGGGTCAGACAGAGTTGAGAAGTGTGGTGTTAAGTGATCTCTAAGGTTTTGTCAAATTAGAAAATGCAAATATTTTATGCAGCTCCTTTCTTTGGAAGCCAGAAGCTTTATAAGAGTCTAAAAATAATTTTTGAAGTATAGTCATACATTTATTGCAAGTACAGTACTCATAAGCCTATGACATTCATGTCTATAATCGGTACCTCCTTACATAATTTACTAATATTATTAATTAATACTATTTAGCGCTTAATATAGCACTTGTCTCTTTCTAAAGGCTTTGCAAACATTAACTAATTACGGGAATCAGGTGAAATATGACAGTTTGGTTCACAGGGGTTGGGTGACAAACCATTCTGGTTTAATTTCCTCCTAGAGCCTAGAGTGTTTGCATTTTTCCTCCTTCTCTTTTCTCCCTCTTCCACCTCCTCTTATTCTCCTTTCTTTCTAAAACTATGAGATCATGACATGTATATATGGGGGAGGCTGCTAGAATGGTGATTTTTGTTGTGTCTTATAGGGAAATGAATACACATATTTACTTAATTCCATCCAGCCATTTATTGAGCATCTATTGTGTGCCAAGTAGGTGATAGGCTAAGAAGTACACTGATGGGAGATGATGAATCACATCACATGTGAGAAGGTTTACTTTTTCTTTTCTGAAAAACTTGGCTTTTATTATTTTTCTTGTTAAGCTTAGCATGCTTATTGAAGAAAAGTAGACAATATGAATAATAAAAAATCCACATGAGTAAATAGAATACAACCCACCTAGCAACAACCCATCATTAATACTTGATTTGTATTCTTTCAGACTCTTTTCTAAAAAAGCATGTATACACATCTATTAGAATGTATATACATGTGTATTTTTTAAATAAAAGAGATTTACCATTTACTGTAGTTTGAAACTTCCTTGTTTTGCTTAACAATATATTTAAAAGTCTTCCCAACACCCATAGTTATGGAAATCTTGTTTTTAATAGCTGAAGAGTCACTTCACTATTATGACTCTGGTGTTTTTCTTAAGCAGAATGAGATTATGCAGGAAATTGGCTTGTTGATTTAGTTTTGGTTCATTTGTTCATTCAAGAAAATGTTCCCAGCAACTTCTCTGAAGCAGCCCGGCATTAGGCATCAGTTGCTGTGGTAAAGAAAACATGCAAAGTCCTGCTCTCCTGGCGCTGATGTTTGGCAAGGACAGACAAAGCAGTACACAGGTTGACAAATAGAGATAGGTCACTCAGGAGAGGGGTAAGGGCTATGTTATGGCTGACCTGTGTCCCTCCGAATTCAAATGTTGAAGTCCTAACCTCTAGTGATCTCAGAAGATGCCCTCGTTTGAAAATAGGGTCATTCCAAATGTAATTAGTTAAGTTGCATCATTGGAAGTGAGTGTGACTGGTACAGGATGAGGGGAGGTTTTGTGTGTCTTATTAACTCATTTAATCCTCCTAGCAAATTCAGCTTTGTAGAGGAGGCAGTGGAGTTGGGGAGAGGTCTGGCCACTTGCTCAAGGGCGTGGAGGTATTAAAGGGCAGAGCCAGAACTTGGCTTTTGGTGTCTACTTGCAGAACTTGTGTCTGGACTCCTGGCTTTCTAGAGTCTGGTATACAAAGATGAGAACTAGGAGTGGAAAACCAGATATCACTATTTCCACTGGGGACCATGAGTTCAACAGGTACTTCCTGTTTCCTGTCTCATTCTGGGCTGGTGGCAGGGTCTGCTGTTACCTCTCCTTGGCAGGCAGTGTCTGCATGCTGTCCTGTCTGGAGATAATCCCCCAGGATACTTGTAATAGCCATCCCTTCATCAGAAACTGTCACAAGAACATTGAAAAACACCCAGGCTTAGTAGGGAGGCAACAACTTCTATTTACATTTTATATTCCTGATAATTAGAAATCGTGGTGAAAATTGTGGGTAATTAACTAGAACAAAGGTGGAGGGTGGCAAGAATTCTTTCCTGACTTAATTCCCTCCATGCAGTTTCTCTGAGCTCTTGCTTTATTGATGTAAACAGGGGCTTGAGGCATTTCCTTTCTTGATGGGAAATTTACTGGAGAGAACAAAATGTACAAAAGAAAGCATGCTTCTAGGTGACTACTGGCAATATCCATATTCATTACACCCAGATTATGTTAATCAAAGATAGTTTTGGAAGCTCATTGGTGTTGTCTTTCCAAGATGAGCAATAAATGTGTGTTGTGCTTTCTCTAGCACTTTAATTCAAGTTTCTCAAAATACTTCACAGCTACAAGTAAGGAAGGCTTACAGGGCCTCTGAGAGGAGTCATCACTGTGGTGTTGCTGGCTTGTTTGAAGCTTCGTGGGCTTCTAAGTATAATGATGGTGAGAGGTTTATTTCAGGATGAACATGATTATAGTTTAGAAGATCACTGAATAGGTGGGATTATAGAATTAGGTTGGAGCCTGCCTTCGGAGGTGAGGAGAGGGAGGAAATGAAGGATGACAAAACAGTAAACAGCTAAAAATCATTCCTGCCTGATTTTGCAAATACACTAAGGGATTATGTAAATCCCTTCATGACTTTCCAGTGAATAGTATTCCAGCCTTGCTGGATCATCTGGGGCAGCAGGGAACACTGGCAGCCCCATGGCATGGTTGTGCGGCTATCATTACTACAAATCAATCAATACTTCCCCCCCCACGGCAAAATGAGGTTACAAGTTAGACTGGAAGTTGCCTGAAACAGCCCACCAGCTGACTACAGCCCACCAGCTGACTGCAGCCTCTGACGCACTCTTCTGGGGCCATTCCTACTATGGGGAGAGTACTGGGCTGAGCTTCTTCTGGTTTAGGACACAACTAAGGGGCTAGATTCCCAAGGCTCACATTCTGACTGTGCCTTAATTGACCTTGGACAGAATCTCCTATGCTTTGGTTTCACCACCTATAAAACGGTATAACAACGGTACTCAGCTCACAGGGTTGTGGAGAGGGGTGAAGGAGTCGTTGTTTGTGACCCTTTCAGCAAAGTAGTTGTCATGGAAAGATTCCAAGGAGCACTTCTCAGAATCACCCTGCTCTGACTCCTAAGTAGTTTTGTTAAGTATTGCTGACCTCCCTCCCCCTCTACCTGCCCAGGCAGCTCTCCAAGAGCTCTTCAGCCTGCTGTTCAGTCCCTACCCTGGAATATTTTCTGCTGAAATTTTCCCGAGTTTCTCTTGGATGTACAACCCGGTGCTTTGACTCAAAGCATTCTTGATTCCTTCTCTCAAGCATGTGGAATCTGGATTTCTTCTCTCTCTTGTGTTTCCTTTACTAAAGGGGTTCCTCACTAGATCTGTTGGGCCTTTGGGTACCACATCCTTCAGTCTTCTCCACACTTGACTTATTTCTCCAGAATTCACACACATGCACATCCTCTCCCCCAACATGGTGGTCCACCTATAGTTACCACCCTGTCCCTGAAGCCATGATCCCCTTTTGAGCCCTGTGCCTGGGGCTACTCTTCACACCCAGCCATCTCTGATGGTGGATTCTCTCATGAGGTCCTTGCTTGTGCATCTGTTCTTTTCCTTTGCAGCCTGCCAGAAATGGTCCAAGTGTGTGCCCTAATCGCAGATGTGCTTGCCTATCAGCTACTATGACTTCTGGTCAAGGTTCAGGCCAGCTCTGTGTGAGTCTTAGGGCCTGCTCACCCCTAACTGAACACCCTAGTAAATTGGATTGAGTTGTGTGTCCTAGACACACTCTTCTGTTGTTTGCAGTTTTATTCTCCGTAACTATACAGATTAGGCCTAATCTGCTTACGGAATAAATCTTCAAGTTTTTGAAAGCAACTAACACTTTTCTCAGTCTTATCTTCCCTAAGACTAAACGTCTTTAATTTCTTCTGTGAT